GCATCCTGTCTCTCCAGGATCAGTGACTTATTACCACTCCTTTCACTTTCTCCCATTCCTGGTCTTCTGCGGCCTCTCCCTGTTCCTCTTATGTTAAGGCAACTAGCCACACAGTGAGGGTCTGAAGGTATTTCTGTTCAGGGGAATGTATGGCCTCCCTCACAGTTTCTGAAAATTTGTTTTGTTTTTAACAAATCTTCTCTGGGAGGGAGAGATCAGTTTCACCAAGAGAACATCAGAACTTTCAGGCTTCACAAGTGGCCCTGGGATGAACTGTTCCAGGGTGACTGGTCCAGCTCCATGTAGTCCCTTACATTGGGAATGCTCTAATTCTTTCACTCTGGGGGAAGCCTCTAAGCCGTTAACTCCTTTCCTGAGCAGTTTGGGACTGCCCCCTCTGTTGACTTTATTCCACTTCTCGGGATAACAAGTAGAGTCAAAGGATCTGGAGGTACTTCTTTTCCTTTGATAGGGTGAAGAGTCACGATACCATCTAGTACCATAGGACGGGCCTGTAGGGGAAGGGGTAGTGGAAAATAAAGATTCCCCTGGGAATGGGTGGGACGAGTGGATGACCAAGGTTCAGGAGAGGACCTCACATCTTCTTAGCACTCTACTTCCCAGAGCTATCAGACTGCACATCTCTCTTCATTCACCAAGCTGGAGACAGGCAGGGTTTGAGGTACAAAGAAGATACAGAACAATTATATCCTTTAGTTAAGGACAAAGGCAAAGGCTTTATGCTAGGAAGGATTTAACTTAACTTACTGGTAAGAAATCTACATGGCTTGCAGTTTGGTAATAAGTAACTCCCAGTACAATTTTTTTTTTTTTTTGCACCGGGGATCAAATTCGGGTCCTTGCACTTGTTCAGCGGCAGAACCACTGAACTAAAGCCCCAGCCCTCCCAGTACAATTTTTAGAGGGGTCGAGTTTGGGATTTTGGTTGGGGGAGGCCCCCTGTTATAACTAGTCTGATCCCTCTTGCCCAGCCTGTTTGTACAAATGACCTGATGGTGTTGGGTGTACCTGGACATTACAAATAATAGCATTATAATACCCATGGGAAATGCAATATACTGATAGCATAGTTTTTCTGAGACTTTCTTTCCTTATCTTAGATGAAGCATCAAGACGCTTTCAGAAAAGATGTTATTGCCAATTTATGCATTAGTAAGACACTAGTTACTTTCTTTTTATGTATTTTTCTCTTGGGGTTACATTCATTCTAGGCCTATGTTCAATTTGTGTAGTAAATGGTTCTCTTTAGTTTGGGAATGGTTTTGTTTTGAGAAAGGCCTTCTCAGTATCCTTGGAATCATACTGATACATCTATAGAACAATATTGAACTTCTTTAAAGAGGAGTATGAATTATAGTCCAAAGTACATGTCAAAAAATCTCCCAGACCATAAGCCATTCACTTTCTCCCTCTTGGTTGTTGACACATACTAAGGCCAATTTCTTTCTTGTAAACCTAGTCTCCTTGGAAATATCTTCCAGAAAGTGACCACCATGGTATGGATTTGGGCTCCAAGTCTGTTCTTTATCTTGGAGCTGTTATCTATGGAATGTTGACTCCATGTCCCTAGGACACAAAAATGGCCAGAGTCTTGGGTGATGTTTGCTCCAAGAGTCCTCAGCCAGCATGGATTTAAGGAAAATATGTCCATTCCATCAGTCAGCACCAGTCTGGCAGGCACCACAAGCAAATTCACTACGTTGCTTTAGGTACATAACAGAAAAGCAGCCCACTGCAAACTAATGTATGTTGAACCCATAGGTGGAAGGCAAAGAGTTGAACGATTCACTTCATTATTCTATTCAATTCTTATAATAACAATCACCCCCTTTTAAAAACTAAAAACAGAGACAGAAACTTGCGCAAGGCCACACATCCAGCAAAGCTGGAGCCAAATTTCTAAACAGGGCAAATGGGTCAGGGACCTCTCTTCTAACCACCACCCAATGCTGACTCGAAAGTCACCACAAGGGGGCGCCCTGCCCTCATTCACTCGTTCACCTGTGCTGAAAGGGAATGTTTCGTTTTTCCACCTTGAGGGTTGTGAGATGGGGCACAATTCATAATCCATCCCCCATTCTCCTTTTATCTCAATTTCAAGCCTGCTTTAATACTGAAAAGTTTCAGACCAATGTAAAAGTGTCTACAAGTCATTTTAACTCTAAGTCTAAAATACAAAATGCCCAAAGGAAGCCACTGTATTAGGAAGAGACAAACTCAGTAGTAAGTAGGAACTATATTTTCTTTCTTTGGACAGAAAAACAAGGATTTATTTTAATGAAAACTAACATAAAGTTGAAGCTTCAATCACCAAGGATGCTGTGTTATATTTAAACAGATCATTTAGTACATATGGTCAGAACATAAACAGAAATTTTCTTCAGAACTGTGGATCCTCCAAGCCTGTATTAGAGTTTAGGGTAAAGCTCTGAGAATTCATGGGCTCTTTTTCTTTTTTTCATGTCATCTGACAAGTAATCAAAATGGCTAAGCAGTTGTGATAGTGTCATGGGACAAAGGCTCCATACGTAATGCTGACAAATAACACCTGGGACTCGCAGAGCTGGAAATTAACTGTCCAGCCCCTGACACATCTAAGTCTGGTGTGTAATGAGGCAAGCCCCATTTAGAAGGACATCCTTGGGCAGGCTGAACATATGGAAGACAGAAAAGAAAAATATGTGCTATATAAAAAAAATCTTCTCTCTACCCGAGAGAATCAATACTATTTAATGTCTAATAGACAAAACGTGAGAACAATGACAATACACATCAACAACCAACTCAGCAGCACATAGGCCTGTCCATAATTCTTGTGGGTTGAAGGAGGCAAGGCAACTGCTTCACAGAATTGTATCTGGTTGTGCCAGATGGAGTGGGCCACCAGGGCAGACGCTCCTAAAATGGTGCAACCGAGCACTGAGTCATCAGCAGAAAGAACGTGTGGCAGAAAACTTCAGAGAAGGGAGGAAAGTGGGAAGTGAAAATATGACTTAGGAAATCCGGAGGTTCCAGATGAGGCTCAAGGGAGAAGGTCAATGTAGAAAGTTGCACCACAGCAGTAACAGAGTTTGAATACATGTTATGTTGAGTGTCTTTGACAGCTGTAATTTGCTGGTTTAAACCTAGTAAGCATTTGGGAAGGCAGATACTCCCTCCTAACCCAATCTGGGACCTGCTGGAGTCACGTGTTTTTTTTTTTTTTTTTTAATTTTGCAAATGACAAGATGACCAGAGACACCAAGAAAGCAAATGTGGAGATTTACAAAAACTCTCCAGTTGGTTGTGACAGGCAACCAGGATGGAGGAATTGGCCTGGGCCACTGTAAGCTGACACTTTATTAGTACAGTGAGTGGAAGCAGGATTTGAAAGGGCCAGAAAGCAAGCAGCAGGGCGTAGATGGGGGAAAGGAAACTGTTCAAAAGTTTGGAGTGAAAGTATAAGTCGTGGCTGTAAAGAATTATCTTAGATGTTGCTATAGTTTGGATCTGGAATGTCACCCCCAGGCCTGTGTGTTAAAATTCTTGGTCTCCAGTTTGGTGCTACTGGGAGATGGTGCATCTGTGAAGAAGTGGGGTCTAGTGGGAGGTCTTCAGGTCATGGGGGCTTCCCTTGAAGGGCGCTGTGGGAATCTCATTTCCTCTACTGTTTGCTTTCTAGCCATGGGGTGAGGAATTTTGCTTCGTAACAAGTACTCCTGCCATGAGGTGTTTCTTCCCCACTCCCCATCCAACCACTCCCCACCAGAGGCCTAAAAACAATGAGTCTGACTGATGATGGACAACAACCTCCAAAACTGTGAGACAAAATAAACCTGTCTTTCTTTTTATAAGTTTGTTATCTCAGGTGCTTGTTACAATGATGGAAAGCTAACCAGATGTAATTTTTGGATTTTCAAAAAGTAAAGCAAAAGAAAATCCATCCTTTGCAGCATCTTGCTAAAGAGGACTGAATACATTCATGTTTTCAGAAACGAAGTGAAACTTGCCTTGGGAATGTGATGTATTCTCATTTCATGTCTCAGTGTCTAGGAGCATAGCAGAGCACTTTTCTCATTGCCAGCTGGGCACACATGTGTGAGTCTGCACCACCCAGGCTAGCCCCATGCATCAATAGAAAATCATACTCCCACATTTGAATGTCTGATATTTTTCACCACCTGTCCTTTTTTCTATCTTCCCACTTTTACAAACTATTTAGGAAGATAATGATTATGATATGTCAATAGTTTTTCCTCATGGTTATGGTATAATTCTAACAAAAAGAAAAAGATTAACTTTGTAAGGCAATTGGCTTATAATTTAGTTCACAAGATCAGGTCTCTTTAAATGCATAATTAGCTTGAGTCTAGGTCCTCATCCAGCCAAATAGCATCTCTGTCTTTTCTTTGAACAGTGGAGACTTCAGTCTTTTCCTTCCACCTGCAGACTTCCCAGGAATATTTTGAAGTCTTGCCTACTTTGCCAAATACTTGCCTACTTTGCCAAATATTCACACCATTTTAGAGATGGCTATTCTGCTACAGTAGTCATCTAAGTCAATTTTTTTACAAGCAAATGAAGAAATACAGTAAGCTGCATTTGCTTTTCCATAAAAATAAATGGAAATAATATGGTTAAGTCTTAGTTTTAATTTCACAAGGTATGAAACTAGTCTACTGAATCAAGGCACATGCTATATAGATACTTAAGGTGAGCATATCACTAATAGCAGAAAGGTAACTATTCATTGGTTTAATTGCTATACCCATTAGAAGGAAAAAATGCTTGACTCTTTTGGATAGATGCCCATTGTCTAAACTGAGCCCAGTTCTTTCAACTTTTTTACATTTCAAGTTTTTCCACTAGAATGTATTTAGTGAGACTTCATCATCATGCTAATCCTAGGTCTGATGTCTTCTGTACGCTGACAAGATGTGGTGATATGGAATTATTTGGTAGTATTTCACAGGTCCCACAAATAACTAAGAGAAACAAACTTTCACCACAGAATTAAAATATTTAATGACAAAATTAAAGTTTGCTGTAGTAGTGAATCAACAGAGCAGGTGTTACTGGTCTCTGAATGAAACAACAATTATCTTAGAGAACTTCTGAAGAATTGATAACTGTACAACAGACATTAGCAGCGTTACAATTCTGAAAATTACAAGTGAAACCTATCTTTAATATCCCTTTTTTAGGGCATTCTTTAAATATTTTTACATAAATGCACAACCTCTCCTAGCCACAATAGTATTGACAGATTTCACTATAATTTTAAGTCTAACACATAATCTTAATTTTTGCAGAGCTTAAAAATTGTTAACTACTGATCTTGTTACATTTTACAGATACATTCTTTAAAATGAAACACTATCCTGAATAACTGCATACTTCCTGTACACAGATATCTAATAATACTAGTGAAGAATACTACTCCTATGTTCCAGAGAGAAGTGGTAACACTGAAAAGATTCTTTCCTGTATTGTGGCAATACAATTAGAGAAGTCCTTCACAAAAATTCACAGTGAAGTGCTGAAATGAAACAAAAAATAATATAGTGTAGCAAGCTCAACCAAATGTGTTTGGTCCCAAAGGATATGAGTCATTTTAGCAATTTTCTCTAGGTTAAATTGAATCAATATTTTGTGTTGCAGCACCTTCTACAAAAGGATAGCAAAGAACTTCACACGTGTTATCACAGGGATCCTCTTCCAGAGGCTGAAAGGTAGAAGAGGGATAGGAATTATAGCCTCTATTTGGAGGAGGCCAAGTAGGACTTTGATACAGGGAGGTCAAGGACATGACCATTGACTGGAAACTAATTAGCAGAGGAAGCTAATAAAGATTCACATGTGCTTTCTTCTAATTCAGGCTATTTCCAATAAGATTTAGGTTTAAAAGGATAAACAGAGAGTGAGGAAATAGGGTAAGATATGGAATACTTACCCTTTTGAAAAGTAAATATTAGAATTCTACCAAGGAGGAAAACCTCAGATTTCACAGTATGCTTATGACCTCATCCTCTGCTAATTTAGAAGCAGCTTCCCAAACACTGTTGTTAGATAGTTGGCAACCAATTTTATTCTTGAGTTTGGCCAACTGTCAGGGGTTTTAGATTTACTCTTTCAATTATTTATACCACCTATCTATCTTGGAAACCAGAATCTAATTTGAGAAGATGAATATATATAACTGTGTGTGTTTGCTGTGTGTTTTCTGAACTGAAGTCTGCCATCAAAATCTATGTGGATATTTGGGGATTTTCTTAGAAATTTTAAATGCTTCTAATGGCACTCATAAAATGGCATGTTCCATGCTTCTTTAAACTTTTAAGAGACCAAAAGAAAAGTAAAAATATTATAGTAAGCTTTCATAGTTTACTATATAAATTTTATAGAATTTTCTTGAATTGAATCATCTTTCTAAGAGGATTAAGAAATTTGTCTTCAGCAAATCCATTTCCTTTTTGACATGTACTACCTATGATTTTTATTTTCCAACAGACAAACTTTCTATCTCCCAAGGAATGCTTTATCAGGAGAACTTAAGCTATTTAAGTCAACATTAATCATCCAAAAGTCATCCTATGCTGCTATATAAGAGATTGTAATACACAGAGACTCCACTGGCTCAATGGATAGGAAGGAACAGGAAGGGTCCTGAAGACTCGGGCAGCTTAAAAATCAATGTACTGGAGTGAGAGGCTGACAGTGTGTCTGAGATGTGAGATGTGAGATGTGAGATGTGGAGCTTTGCCTCCTTGCTTCATGAGGAATAAGGACAGCTTTTTATGTTTAGTATTTTAATCTTCTTGGAAACAAAGCTTCCAGACTGAAAATGTAGTACCATCTTGAGCAACACACAAACAAAAGGTGTGTGACCAACTCTATTCAATCTGGCAGCAACATAAAGGCTTTATGGCAAAACTCATGGGTCAATTCAGGCAAGATACAATTGTTATCTTATGCAATTTGTCAAGAAACACACATGTTAAATTGCATTAAACAGACAGCGAGAACAACATGCAAACCTCCAAAAGCCAGATACCAAGGAACTGAAGGCCCTTTCCCAAGGACATTCTGAGGGTGCCTCTAAAGTGGGCATGGCTTTGAAAAAAAAAAGAAAAAGGATTTTAAATGCAATATCTTTTCACATAGACATTTTATCTAGACAAATCAATTTTTGATAAAAATCCAAGCTCATTCCAATACCAGCTATGGTAATTTGGGACAATGACAAAAGAGAAACATCCTTGAAGACACAGGTTTTAAAAGCAGGCTTTTCCTTAGGTCTTAACTGTCAAGGTTTTATCCTTTGTATGATAATTCCAAATCATCAGCCTGGAAAGAAGTAGCAGAAGTAGTTAAGTTGCAGCTCAGAAAGTAGATTTCTATTTGTGATTCTGATTTGTTTTTTGAATACTGGTAATGGTGCATGCAAAAGATTAATATGCAAAAAGTAAAATCTAAGACTGCTATTTCCGATGATAAAGCCAAGTGTTTTTCATAATACAGATTTATATCTCAGGATACAGAAATCTAATTTTACTCTTCAACTTAAGAGTTCTAGGACTGTGAGTAAAACCAATTGCTGCTTGACTTTTATTTTCATCCAGCAACAATAACATCTGATGTCACCACATTGAAATGTCTTCTTGCTTAATATTAGGGAGAAAAAAAATACACATTGACAGTTTAGACCCAGCTCAGTTTATCATTCAGTCCAAATTTTATATCCAAACTTCAAAAAATTTTCTTCTTAAAAAGGAAAACATACAAACACACACACACACACACACACACACACACGGGCAAAATTAAAATGAAGTTGATGCTACTGAGGCATTTTTTAGCAAGATTATTAGGGAAATGTATAAACACAACACCTTTTCATCCATATTAACACCTGAAAATGAAAAACAAAACAAAACAAAAAACCCTAAGTGTCCATATATTGGGGAAAAAAGAAGCAACTGGAGGTCCAGAATTCTTGTAAAAACTGCTGAACAACTCTTCCATTTCTCTTAAGAGGGTCACCAGGATAGGCAGTTTTTCAACATTTGTGCTTCATGGCAAGCTAAGGAAAGAGGAATGAAAAAAGTAAGAAAGAGCTTTCGCTGCTGCCCCCTCCCTACGCTCTCCATGAGAAACAGCACCGAGTCTACTCTCTGCAGCAGGTCATCGTTATTATCCACAGTGACACCTAGTCAATGTGCAAAACTTTCCAAAAGAGCTCACTGGACACTGATATTGTTACATTTCCTTACTTTAATTTTGTTGTTCTGGGTGTGCAGTAAGGGAGAGCACCGTGTGGTGTCCTTTCATCACGCTGCAGGACCAACTGGATAAACGAATACACAAGCACAAGGAGTGACTGGCTCTAGGAACGCTGGGGTTCCCAGGTTGGTAATTACCCCGGAACAGTCCTGAGCTGTAAGTATTCACTGACACCTCATGGAGTTACAGACTCAACAGCTCTTCAAGAGACAAACTGCAATCATCTATTCAATATCCAGCCTGGACATTCAACTGTGGCCCAAACTCTTGACAAGTAAATTGTATTATTGACTGAGGATGAACAATAGACCAAGTCCAGACCTTGATTTACTACTTCTCCCATTGGAATGTGAGAAATGTAGTCTATTAAAATGTTAGATCTTTGTATATGGGAAGACCAAGTACCACTATATCATTCGATAGTTTCCCAAGCACCTTGGAACCCACAATGATGTATTTCAGGAAATTATATGCAGGCACAGAACCTAAATGATATCAAATCTGATTTCCCATATCCAGATATACTTCTAAGAAGCCCATAGTAGGCAGATTAGAGACTGAATTTTAGTTTATGTTTCCAGAATCTGATATTGGAGAGTAATTCCTCCAGTTGGGGCTGGGAATCACTAGGGTTAGGGTTCTGCAGCTCAGAATTTCTTTAGACAAAGAGAAAATGATTATCCATAGGCAATAACTTTCTAGAAAGCTTGGCCCGATTCTCTGCTTTTTGAAAATGAGTAAGGGGGAATCTCACTGAATCCACCCAGTGATTCTCTGCATCAGCCTCAAAGATGTTGATATTCCATTTCTCCAGCAAAATCCAGGGCAATCTGTGTCCCTTCCTCTTCTTTACATCTTCAACAGAGAAATTCTAACCCTGGAACTCCCAGCAAGAAGAGCACCGTCAATGTTTCTGCATGTGATAGAGCAGGGACACGTGGCCCTAGCCCTCATGTTGTGAAGTTAATCTCTGTGTAGGAAACCTTAGCCGAGAGAGCTCCTGGTGCCCTGTCTAGAGGTGCCAGTGAGAACCTCCACCGACCTCCTGCAGTGCTGACACTGATGGTCAATCAACTGTCAGACGTAGAGCTCCTGAAGTGCTGAGTGTGCCCAAGTTGCATGCTGAGTGCTGCGGGTTTTAGCCAAGAAGTGTGGAGCTGGCTAATAACTCCTAGCCCTGGGGAGTTTATAGTCTAGGACACATGACAGTGGAGTAACAGAGGTGTGGCTCAAACTCAGATCTGTCCTGTTCCTCAGCTATACTCTGAGCGAGCCCTTCTAACTGTATGGCCTTCAATTCTTGCTCTGTCTCTAGTTTTCATACATTATTTAGTAAGGAGGATCATCAAATCAGCACAGAGCTGTTAAGTGTCGTGCATAATGAATACCAACCATAAATATTTGATCAGTGCCACTGTCCTGGTATTCATTGAGCTGTTAACTTTTCATTACGGGCTTACATCCATTCACACACAGCCATTAATCTTCAGCAGTGATTGTGCTACTCCTCAAATTAGACCCCAGTTCCCATGACACTGTATCTGAAATTGAGCTAAGGGGAACCCCCTGGGCCATGGCCAGTTGTATTGTGTAGAAATACAACTGGATTGGGAAGTTTGCTACTTGAGGTATTGTTATGGTTTGAATGTCTGTATTTTCCCAAAATTCACCTGTTGAAACTTAACCTCCAATGAGTGGTATTAGGAGGTGGGGGCCTAAGGGATGTGATTAGGTAATGAGGGCAGAGTTCTTATGAATAGGATTAGTGTCCTTATAAAGAGAGTGGAGAGAGACTCTTGGGCCTTTCCACCTTTCTTAGAGGACACTCTAAGAAGAATCTATTTAAGAATCAGGAAACAGGCCTTAATCAGACATGAAATATTCTAAGAGTACCTTTATCTTGGACTTCCACCCTCAAGAACCATGAAAAATAAATCTCCCAGATGATATTTTGTTACAGTAGCCCAAATAGATTACGATAGATTATATTTGCAGAATGTGGCATCATTCTGGGTTTTAAAGTTTCCCTGGGAATTAGGAGCTTTAGAACATAGAAGACAGGATGGTACAGCAGAAAGGCATAGGACTAGGCAAGGTCAGGATACCTGTTGCTACAAATCTGCTGTAAGACCTTGAGCTCTAAAGTTACAGCTGTTCCATACTTTATCTTCCCCATAGGATTACTGTCATGTCTCCAACTCTGTGGATTTGAGTGTCTGAGTTCCAAGAGAAGTTTAAAACCTTTGGTTTATTTTGGTCTCAATATCTTATGGAAAGTATTATCTGTCAATGCTATGGAATGTACTCCACCTAAATAATGATGATGAAAAATTATTACTGATACCATGGAGATACTTTAGGAGGTCTGAGATCCTTCCCTTCTGGCCTCGAGACTCAAGGGAGACAGTTGGCTCTAGTACTGAGAAGAGACAGCCACTTTCCCTTCCCTCCCCCACAAATGTGAGTCTGTGTGGAGCAGGGCAGAGCAATGTTCTTTTCTGTGAGAAATGTCATCTGGGGTTGCCAAGGTGTGGGCAATGCCCTTGCCCGCTGACTCACCGCCCATGGCGAGCTGTCAAAGTGCTCACACACTGCAATGCTGTGCTTTTTGGGACAGGGAAAGTGAGCAGGGCTGCATCTGTGGTAGAACTGTACTCTCCTAACAGCTGGGACTGTGCCAAGCCCACAGCTCAGGAAGGAACCACACTTCCTCAAGCCAGGATAATGGGAGCTGGGGGTGAGGGGTGCTGGGGAGGAAGAAATAGGATCATTCTCCATCTGCTTAGTAGAGGACAAGCACCCATATGTCTTGAGGGCAGGGCTGCACAAAAATGATTCATTCATTTTGTACCTGGTTTATTGCAGAGGTCCTGGGAAAAGTTAGAGACCAAAAATCCTTTGCTACTGCAGTCTGGAAGGGTGTGCCATACTTTCTATGTGGGCTTGAGTGTCCTTATTCACCCCGGAACTCAGAGAAACTGTCACCTGGAATTATTGTTCTCTGCTCAGGGCTCTACCATGTGCTCTGTGCCTCCACATGTAAACACAGCCCACTCTTTGTGAGTCAAAAAAGCCCCACTAGCCTTGGGGGTGGAAGGCCTGGGTTCTATCTCTGAGCTCTCTCCTCCTCAGCAGGTTTGGCTGAGGCTTGGCCAGTAAGATGACATCTTCATGGTGAGCCTACACTAGTGGGGCCAAATCAGTAGTCCTTGTCTCTGGGAAAATCGCTACACCCTAGCTAAAGAGGTCAATCTGCTCATTAGGGACACTGCCAATGCTGGCAATTCATAAGCACATATCACGGTTTTAGAAAATGGCAAGTCTGGCTCTGACACTGTCTCATGCTCCCTCACACACAATAACTGCTTCCAGCAGCCCCCTCCGCCCAGAACCTATAAGAGGGGAAACTGAATCAAATGCAAATTGCTTCCAGGTCTGGGCTCTTTCATTGGTTAAAACCAGAGGTCCTTTTGTCTCTGGTGACCTGATCAGTTTCTGGTGCTGAGAGGTCCTGTTTCAAAGGCTACTTTCTGTTTAGGTGGTCTCACCTCTTAGGAGGCCCTCCCACCTCACTTTACTTTTGAGTTCAAAAAGCATAGTCTTCACCTCCATTCCCTCTCTGGGGCTGTATTGAGAATCCTCAGTAACGAGTAACAATTCTCTAGCCCCTTTACAGAGCTCATTCTGTGACTGAACAGGGCAGGTTCAGCAGAAACTATTTTTATGGAAATAACTATAAATAATCATAATTCAGATTTATGTATGTTGCATGCTGTGAAAATAGCTTCATAGCAAGATTAAAATACAAGATTTTAACTACTATACCATATTAGTTCCCAACCACCTAGCAAACTTGGCCATAATATCAGGGAAACAGGGTTGCTAGGGCCAAGAATTCATGACATCTGGTTAGGCTATCCACTTGGGTGTTTATACAACCTCCTCTGAGAGGGATGCCTACATGAATGACATCCAGGTATTGTCTACTCCACTTTAGGAAGAATGACTTCACAGTCTTTCCCTGTAACATGGTTCATGGTTTAACCATTAAACTAAACTCCTGTTTTAGCAGAATTTTATCAGTGCACTATTGACTGTTCTATTCTGTGTGGGAAGGCATGGAAGATTATTGCCTGTACTATCACCATTCCCAGCCTTGAGGATAGTTACGAAGTTATTCCCTTACCTTTCTCTTCCCCAGCTCAACATTTTAAAATGTTTTCCCAGATTTCCACTGCCCATGTTCCCCTTAAATTATCTGAGTTTCTGTCATTATAAGTGAAGGTGGGCTGAAATTCTGGCATTTCTGTCTCATCATTACTCTGTAGAGAAAGGCTGGAGAAGAGAGGGAGGACTAGAGAAACCTTCAATTCCAGTTTACTCTCTACAACAACCTCGGCAATCTGAGACCCAGAGCCTACAATAGGGCTGGCAGCATTTTCAGATGGATCTGGCCAGTTCTCCTCCAAGGAATTCTAAATGGGCCCCAGAGGCAGCAATGTAGTAAGATGGAGTGCCAGTGGCACACGCAGACACATTTGTGTAAAACAGATGCAAGGAGTAAAGGCAGGAAGCACTTGTTGGGAGCCAGGTCTCAGTTGGGCATGAATGTGAGCCGGGGAGATGCCACCTTGGCTCAACAGGGAATATTTTTCTTGTTGCTTGGTTGGTTTTCCATTCTTCAGCAAAAGGGGGGTTTTCTGTTGAAGCAAAATATGTATATTTTTTGCCCCCAAAGTCACCTGAAAAGTCCATCTGAAGGTCCAGATCATGAGTCTGACAAGCTAATACAGGTCACCCGCAGAAAGTGCTTCTGGGAAATGCAATTTGAATCACTAGCCAGAAAAGAATTGCCCTTTGATCTGACACACAAAGACAGTAATAAATCCTCTTTATCACCTGACCAAGGGGCCCCGCTTTCTTTTGGTTTGTGGCTGCCTTAGATAGTGGCTGCCAGTAAAAACTCCACCTTTCCCTTCTGAAAGGGACAGTTGTTAGTGAGAATGTGAATGCGCAGGGTGTGGGTCTGGCCACGCAGAAAACACCATTCTCTGGACCGAGAGGCAGGAAGGACTCTTGCTGGCAGGACTATGCCAGTCTGCTCCAGCTCAGAGCTCCAGAACTGAGGTCCTGAAATAATAACCAGCCCCTCTTGAGGGGAAACCAGGCCTGAGACCAGAGCTTCTTGTGTCTGGTAAAGAGATAAGAACACAGGATGTCAGATGCAGGGTGGGAAAGGGACGGGATGGAAAAGTAAGCCAAGCAGCTCAAGTCTGCCATGAATTCTTCTAAACCTTGGCCAAAAGTGGGGATATCTTTTGAAACCTGAGCTCATTATTCCCTTATCCTGTTCCCTGAAACTTGAGCTCTGAACTTTTGGGCAGAAATTAAAGACGTTCCATATTTTCTAAATAGTCAATGTCAGAAGGTCAGAGATAGGGAGAAGTACATCAGAAAGGAGACAACCAAAGAAACCAGACATTACATGAAGACATTTTTTGTAACTCTGGTACTTAAAAGTTTCTGGATACTTCAACTCTTAAAAACCCACTACTAAAATTCTGGTTTCTCTTCAGATCATATAAATCTTTGGCCTTTAAAAAACCCAGTGCTTATACCCCTGTCCTCTGCTGGCCCACCTTGTGTGCAGTTTCTGCAAACTGCTGGGCGCTGTTTTTCATGTCTTCTGTCTTCTCCTCCGCTCGGCCTAACCGTTCTCCACGCTCATTCAAGGCCTGGCTTGCCTTCTGTACAGCGCTGGTCACACTATCAGCAGCTGAATGGAGGATGCTGTTTCCTGGAAGAACAAGAGCAAGGGCATTAGGAACTGGCTCAGCTACCCTACAGTGACCAAATCTGACACCATGGAAGGCCTCAGGGTCCGGGAAGCAAGGCAACATTTCTTGTGGTTCTAACTGACTCACATGTAGGAAGAACCTACACAGAAAGAATGCAGGACCTAGGCAAATCCTGGGTGTTTGTTGCACGTCCATCCATCCTGGCTCAAAAAAGATGGGGTCCATCTGGATTGAAGACTTGGCTTTCAAAGGTAAATGAGAATCATGTCAAGTTAATAGAATTAGGCAACTCAGTGAGAAATATCTGGATCTTATATGCATTTTCCTTTGACTTACAGTTTAGATGAATAATCACAGGAAAACTGGCACCACAGGATTTTCCCGGATATAATATGCTATATTCTTGGCAATTTTTCTCTTTCATTTTATCCCTTCATCCAGCAAGTAAGCAATGCTCCTGAGTGTATGCCCTGTAAGAGCTATGAATCAGATTCACAAGTCAAAGTAGCTGTGTTAACTCCCGTCTTTGAATCCTGTGCCATAGCTCAGACTGTTGGGTCTCCTTACCTCTGATTTCTAGTGTATGACACATGGAGCTTCTGTATTGCATGCAACTAACAAATAGAAAACCATTGCAGAAACCAGTCCTAGAAGAAACTTGGCATTCTTAAGTTCAGGAGTGATAATCTGAGGAAACTGAAAACTATTACATTTCCAAGGTCATGCATTTCTGACATCCTACTTCCTAAATCTGGGCAGCAAAACTTAATGGTGAACAACTTGTAGGTACATAACCCATTGAGAACTAGCAGTTTGCAAAATGGCAACCAAAGGAAATTTATAGCTGTATTCTGTTAACACTGAGTGAAAATACTTAATGACACTGTACGTAATAGCTTAATGTCTTTGAATAAGTTTATTATATCATTTAACTTTGTACCTACGATGGATACACCTAGCCACAGACAGCTTTTAATAGAAATGTAATTTTCACTGGTCTCAGCTGGAAAGGCTTCCTAATTTCTTCCCTGTGGGAACAGCCTGTGGTTTGTGGACAAGGATATCAGGCACAGAGAGTACCTGGTCCAGAAGAAGTATTTAGCAAATTATTTTCCATTTTTCTTCTTTAGGAGTAGATTTCAAGGCTTCAACTATACATTAAAGGAAGTAGAATGGGGTTGACTTAGTGATGCCAGTTGCAGCAAGTATCCCATGAATCAAGACTAAAAAAATCATTGCAAATGAGTAAAGATCATAGGAAATTGAGTGCTGGAGAAATCTGGTAGAACACAAGGGTTGGAATAGAATGTCTGGAACTTCAGAACAGATTTAGAACTCTTGGTTCCCTTTGTTTTCACAACATACTTATGACTATTGATTTTAGCCTAGTATCACTGACTAACATTTATATAGCATTTGTAATCTTAAATTCTAATATTACCTCATTTGATTGTCCAGAAATTCTACTGAGATGACTGAGACTGGAGAGGTGAGGAGGCTTATGGGAGATCATGTCACCAGGGAAATGACATGGCTAGCACTTAAACCTGGTTTTCCAATGACTTTTGCTTATTCCATACCTTCTTCTTTGAAGGTATGGTGTTGTTCTGGGGAAGCAATCACTGTGACACAATTCTGGGCACACCAGGTAGTACCTGACTGCCTCAAAGTATTCCTTTCAGTAAATTAAGAGTTATTGCCCATGCCATGGTGCAAGTCAAGTGATCTGAAGAAGGAAGAGGTAAATGGGCTGGAATGAGAAGATGGATAAGGGATTGGAAGGTGGGGGGGAAAAGGAAATGGGAAGAAGGAAATTTTTTCCTCCCCCCCACCCCTGCTACCATATAACCACAGTTTAACCACAAGAAGATTGGGAAAAGATGAGGCAGGAAATATACAACTTAATAGCTAGAGATAAAGGGATTTTAGAAATTAGCTGCCATAAAATTACCAGGGTATATAACTAAGACCAATCTTTCCCCATTGGAATTGACCCATATGATCTCCTAGAAGTTATAAATATCTGTTTCTTCAATGGACCTGCTATGTCTATGTATAAGCCATATTGCTTTTCTTATCAGAAGTTTCTTAAAATTAACTTTATACACAATGTCAGGTTGAAATTTGTCTTAGTCATTTTTCTCGTCTCTGGGACAAAATACCCAACACTTACAACTTAAAGGAGAGGTTTATTTTGGTTCACATTTCAATTCACAGTTGGTTGGCTCCAAGGATGAATAGCATGGCAGAGGACCCTGGGAGAGGAAAGCTGTTCATGGGATGGTGGTGGGCAGAAAGGAGAGAGGGATAGGGAAAGGGGAGGGGGGGGAGAGGGGGTTCTATCAAGGGAAGGGAGCCAGGGAGGTGCAACCTTCCAGGCCATGCCCTCAGTGACCCATGTCTTCTGACCAGACCCCATTTCTAACAGGAAACCAACTCTGAGGCCCCACAATCCAATTGCCTTCCAAAAACCTCCCCTATGATTACAGAAGGCTTTGCAGGGATCATCTAGATATAAACTATAACAACATCACATCACATTTTATATAATACTGTTTAACCCATAGTTGCTATAAAAAAGAGAACCAGCCAGGCATGAGGGCACACATCTGTAACCCTAGATATGTACTGGGGAGGATGAAGCAGGAGGATTACAAATTTGGGCAAGTTATCAAGATCCTAACTCAAAATAAAATGGCCAAGGATATAGCTCAGTGATATAGTCATTGCCTAGAGAGAGGCCTGGGTTCAATTCCTACTATTACTGTTAAGGGAGGAGGAAAGAGGGAGAGAGAGAATATGAATGACAATGAATACAGTGGACTCTCGAAATTCACAGTGGTTATGTTCCTAGAGCATTTGCAAATTGTGAAAAACTGAGAATTTCAGATATGGTCAGAAAATGCCTATAAATGGCTATTTTTATAGTTTAAACCCTAAATATGCTATGTCTTTCACAGTTATATAATTAAATTTAATAAAATATGATATACAATACTGTAATAATTTAATTTAATAAAAATACTGTACAGTAGTTCAACATTCTCCTAGAGTGTCTTAAACGTCTGGTGCTTAGGTTCATTACCAGAAGACTTAGCAAGTGCAGGGCATTTTGATGGCTTCTTAGGGATTTTAGGGCTTTAAGAACAAAACTGAGAACACTTGAGATAGCTACACATGTGGTGGTACAGCAACCTGTTATGATGCAGGAATGCTGGTGCATCAGTAGGAGATGGATTACAGGGCAGCAGCCAATCAGCTACAAGCAGTACTGAATAAAGCTCTTGGATTGGCTACTTGCGCCCTCCCACCACCAATAAAAACAACTGTGAAAGACACAGTATTTGCATTTTCTGTGAAATTGTGGGGTTTTTCTGTGAACAATTATTAGGTTTGAAGGAAAAAAATCTGCAAATGACTGAAATGACCTTCCTTATTAAAAGATGGCATTGCTGACCACTATCAATAGGAAATCTGCATTCAATTATTTTCACGTACAGAATGAATTTGAAAAAATTTCACTCTCTCTATTGAAATGACCCTCTGCTGACTCTTCCCTAAATCTGTAACCTTTCTTCTCTTTTGACTTAGATCTTCTGTTTACTCACTTCCCTCTGGAGGGTGGGTCTCTTGCTTATATTGTAATTCCAGGATTCTGTTCTTCACTCTTTTCACATTCTCCTTGGGAGAAGCTGGCCCAGCTCAAGGCTTCAGTGACCAATCTCTCTCTCCCTGGAGGTTGTACTGCTGAGCTCAGACCCACAGGACAGCTCTTACAGGACAACTGCAGTTAAATGACGCAAAGTCATTCAAATTCATTATGTTTAAAACTGATTCTAGCATCTTTGCCTTTATATAGTAATACTTCCATTTACAAACGATTCTATTTGTGAACAATTTGGCTCATTCACAGAAGCTTTGCACAGAATTTTGCTTCCATTTGCAAACTCTGTGTGGGTGATGAACACCACTGTGGCCATCTTCTCTGCATGAACACAAACATGGTCATCTTCCCCAAAAGTGTGGAACAAATTAAATTCGTGAACCAAGGCACCACTGTACTCACTTTTCCTTGAGGTGTCACTGTGTCTGTAAATAACCCCAACATTTGCCCAGCCAGAAATCTGGCAGTCTAAGTCTAGATTCTTCTTTCCCTTTTAGCCCATAGAACTAAAGGTCGTTTCTACACAGGAGCTGTGCTTCTTTATCATCCTCATTGCCTTACATGTATGCACAGTGAACAGTAGTTCTCTCACATCCATCTCTGATCGTTACTCAAAATTAAATTGCTAGTTGAAAGATTATAAACTCTTTTGAGCCTTTTAATATATGTTGAAAGTTGCTCCCTGACAGATTCATTCAGCATTCAGAACTATTCACAACATGTATACCATGTGCCAGACAATTTAGCAGAATGACTTTGAGGGAGTCGATTTAATTTCTCTGACCTTCAGTTTTCTTACTGGTAAAATGTGGGTCATGCCATCCACCTCACATGCGTATTGTGGAGGTGAAGATGCAGATGTGTATCAGGCACTGCAGGTTCTCAGTGGAAGGCTCTCCCTCCATCTCCCCTAAGGCCACATCTACTCTTTAGGGAATTCTGGAAAAATGGCACAATACCACCCAATTCTATTGATTTATTCCCTCTCTTTTCTGCTATCATGGAACTAAGTGTTTTGAAGCCCCCAGCATGTATTTAGATATCTTTGTGCAGCACTGTGTGTTACTTATAAAGGGAGCTGAACACATATTTGCTAAATCAAGGCATACTTCGTAAATAGGAGGCCTTACTCAAGAGTTGGGGCTCATCATATTGTGTGGAGTTAAATATGGAAATAAAGCAGTCTCCTGAGGCAGATAGAACAGTAATTCTCTCTAAATAGACAGAAAACATATTAATACCCACATTTATTCAAGCAGTCTGAGATGCTGTCAACCACAGCAAATAAAGTCAACTGCCATTTGAATGATAGTCTCTAGAGAACACAGCAAAGAC